AGTTATATGTATTATTCGTACTGTCGTTCGTAATATTCAAATAAATAAAATAAAATGAAATTTGAAGTAAATAAATAAATTTTACTATTCATGTTGCTCGAATTGTTATTATTACGATTCGTATCATTCTTCATTTATTGGTTATTATAATCTATTTGCAGTATATCATCGTTGCATTGATTCAGAGAGGTTAGAAAGTTTTGGCGCCAAAATACGAATCGCACCGCCATTAAAATACAAACAAACATTTTCCGTGGTGAAACGACATTGTTCTGGCAAAGGCAAACATTTTGAATGTTTCATACATCTTTTCATACTTGTAATTAGATGAAAATTTTTAAAGTTATATGTATTATTCGTACTGTCGTTCGTAATATTCAAATAAATAAAATAAAATGAAATTTGAAGTAAATAAATAAATTTTACTATTCATGTTACTCGAATTATTATTATTACGATTCGTATCATTCTTCATTTATTGGTTATTATAATCTATTTGCAGTATATCATCGTTGCATTGATTCAGAGAGGTTAGAAAGTTTTGGCGCCAAAATACGAATCGCACCGCCATTAAAATACAAACAAACATTTTCCGTGATAAAACGACATTATTCTGGCAAAGGCAAACATTTTGAATGTTTCACACAATTCTTCATACTTGTAATTAATTTGTAGTATATTATCGTTGCAGTGATTCAAAGAGGTTAGAAAGTTTTCCCGCCAAAATACGAATCGCCATTAAGACACGAATACTCAGTTTCCGCGGTATTGTCCTAGCTACCAAAGGTAAATAAACGTTCGTAAATCATCGCCGTTATTGACAAATGGCACATTAAACCGAACCTAATTTCGCTTAACGTCGTGTCTTCACAAAGGGGGGAGGGGGGGGGGGATTACAGGAAATTATTGTCCGCGGGGATGTACACGTACACATGGTATACGCACGCGTACACGTACGTATATACAGGGTGGTCAATAAAAAACTGAAGTGTTTGAAAAAGTCGCAACCTGTCCTTTTTCAAAAATGGTGGTCACTTGAGGGATGTTGTTTCCCAGACATAATACACTGGAAAAAAAAAAATCCATCAACTACGTTCCCGTATAAATTAATAAAAAATTAAGAAAAAAAAACAAAATTTTTGCGTTTGCAAAATTTATTTTTGTTTCGTGTCATTCAATCTTTCCACCATTTCTTGACCACCCTGTACTGATGTACGCGGCGCGTGTCCATTTGTCTCACTTTCAACACCCCGGACAACCGCGGAGATAAACGACGAAATCTTTATTTTATCGGAATTCCCGGGGTTTTTTTCATCGGTTTAACGAAGCTTCACCCGGGGAATCTTCTTATCCAAATCCTTTAATGTCATTAAACTCGTTGATACGGCGGGATTACGTCCGATCCGGCAAACACGAAGACTCCCTACCCGGCGACGATGATTCTAGCTACGGTGTGTTCACGCGTGTTTGAACAGCCATCGCGCGCGGAATCATTTCAAATATTATCCAGCAAATATTCCACCTCCCCGTCGTATCGTGTTCTAATGCGTTGTAAAATTTACCATCGATTCCCCGTGTGCATCGACCGACGTCGACTGTGTGTCGCCGAGAATCCTCCACAGTAATTTCGCTTTGGGATCGAAATCCGTGGAAACTTCGAGTTTCGATGATTCGAAACTTTGCGAATTATTCGTGACTCGAAATTTGGATTGGGGGAGAGTATAAAGTATGAATTGTGAAGGTCAGTAAGAACATCATTGGAAATAATTTAGTGGCCACGAAATATTTCGAATAGAAATACTAAACAGCTTCGAAAACGAATCTCTATTTAAATTCGGCCTTTCTCAATGAACTGAATTTAAAAGTATAAATTTGTATGAATGTCTGTAATTTAATCGTCACTGCTACTAAATTTTGCTCTTTTTGTTTTTCTAAATGAACTCGCAAAAATAACAATCTGCAGCTTTATGGTCGTCGCGAAATATTTTCACTGGAAAGAATTATAGGGGAAACGGATCGCTGCTTAAATCATGCTTCTCTAGATTGGTATAAAAATCCACAGTCTAATTAGTCGAAAAGAACAGCGAAAACGAAAACGTAACGCTGTTATCCCCAAGGTAATTTATTCTATTAATTTTAAATTGAAGATCAAATTATTTTCTTAAATTAAAGTCCTTTAAAATTGAAATTTATCAAATTCAATAATTCTCCCATAATAATTTAAATTCTATGTTAAAATTAATTAATACAAAATATTTCTATTAAAACAACATTTCTATTCAAATTTTAAATCCATATATGAGACAGTATGTATTTCATTAATCCTTTCACTCCAGATTTCATTCAAAGATCATAAATTTATATGGAAATCTGTGATTTGGTCGTCGCGAAATTTTTTTCTAACGAAAAGCAGTGACTTCTTATATATAACGGATAAATTCTGGCCTAAATTCTACTTTTTTACATCTCGTAAAAAAAAAAAAAAAAAAAAAAAAATGTACATTTGGCTGAAAATTCTATCTACTCGTTCCTCGAGATAATGTACATGTAGATACGGCAACTTCGGCCGACTGCGACGAAATAATTATACTAAATACTATACTAAATAATTATACTAAAACTCGCGACGGAATCGCAGTCACTACATCCGAAGGATTTCCAGTGGAGATAGACGGCGCGAAATTAGCATCTTCACGTGCAACAATCGAAATTAATGGCTGACGATATGCCCGAGCAACGAGTCTCCGAACGAGTAAAGACAATGATTTTGCCGGCAGGCCGCGGAACAATGGTAATTCGTGTCATTGTCTCGCGAGTATTTATCGTAGCTCGGTTGAACCCGCGGAGGGAAATAGGGAAACGTAGAAGAAGAAAAAGTTCTCTGGTATCGAAGGAGGGAACTTCTTGAAGCCGCGGACCTGTGTTTGTTTCTCATCCCCGCTTCCGGTTAGCCTGCGTGTCTCGTTAACGTTCGTGACTCACGAAGGTATTCGAAAGAAACGTTTGCCCGTAACGTGAATTCTACACCTTCGATTTAATGTAAAGAAACCTGGGGCAAAATTGACTTTGATTTTGAACTTCGGGGTAGAAACTGCTATTCTGCTTTCCAAGGAACGAAATATAGGTCGAATATAATATTAAAATAGTCGATAAAATAACATTAAAAAATAATTGAAAACGTTAAAATAAAAATATTTAATATCAAATGATATTAAAATAATCAATAGTAAAATATTCAATAAAATGGAAAAGGAAAGGATGGTACATTAAATTGCAAACACTCGTTAAAAGGAGAAAGAAACTACAGTCTTCAGAACCATAAGCGAATCTA